AAGTGGGGATATGCACATTCCACAAATGTTGTGATCATAAATGAGGTCATATAAGCAAAGGCATATAGCAGTTGCTCAATAAATGTTAGCTTTCTATGTGGGAGAAGCCCACCCTCCGGACCCTGTTGAGCAACCGCGCCCGTTCTCGGTAATCGGAGAGGTCCCTCTTGAAGTCCTGGTAGGGCAGACTCAGAGGCACAGCTCTTGGGAGGCCATTCACCTCAAATGGGGGCGCCACGGAGAACACCTGCAAGGGGCACACACAGGGACCCTCTGAGGTCACCCACCCTCCTGGACCCAGGGAGACTTCAACTGCACCCACAAGCTAGGAGACTCACAGGCCTGAGTCATCTACCAGAGTGTGAGCTCCATAAAGGTAAGCACAGGCATTGGGTCTGTCTTGTTCACTGCTCTGTCCTCAGGGCCTAGAATGGTCTCTGGCACCTAGTGAGTGCTCAGCAAACCTCTGATGACTGTCCATGCTCTAGGTCCCCTGAAGTCCCAGGCCCTGATCCTGGTGGCCCTTCTGCCTCCCAGACTCTCCATGTCCCCAGCCCCTCTCATCGCCATGTGCATCCTTCACCTGAGTCAGCAACAATAACAGAAAATGAAAACTGAAAGGAACCACGACCACCACGCAGCTCAGCCCTTCCTTTTACAGATGAGAAAGCCAGGCCCAGAGATGGGTGGCAGGTGTCTGCGCTACTTCCTAGATGGGCTGTGCCAGGCTGGCTCCTAGATGCCCTTAGTACCACCTCCGGGTGTGCAGTTTCTCTGTGGCCAGAGAGCTGGCTGCCCAGGGCCACCAGATCCTGTGCTGGACAAGGGCAAAGGTGTGGCTGTCCTCTACCCTTAAAAGTGCAGGCTGGGCCCCTGGACCTCCAGTCCATCCTCTCAGCCAGGAATTTGTCCAGCCCTTGACAGGTATACTTAAGCTCCATTCCGTTTTCCTCTTCAAAGCTTTGTGCAGAGCCTTTGGCAATGTGATGGCCAAACCAGTCCTTGGTTTTCTAGGCTCTTGCCATGTCCCCCTTAGCTTCCTTCCTTCCAGACTAGAAAGGTCTGACCACCTGCTCAGGACCTTGGCTGCTGTGTTTCCTTTGCTCTAGCTCCATCCACCCTGTTCAATACACAGACATCCCCAGGCACCTGCAATGCCCTGGGCCCATTAGGGCTGACACAGCTTTGTTCCATGGTGGGACGGTGCTGATGGTGTCCAGCACTTTGCTAGCGTTTTCTAACACACTGGGCTTCTGTCTTCCTGAGCTAGCAGAACACAGCCCATCCAGGCCAGAAGCCCTGGGGATATCCTGCCTCCCCACTTTCCTGCCTCCCCACTTTCCTGCCCATCCATGCTGCCAAGGAGTCCTGCCAAGCATCCTTCTTAAACCTTTCTGTGTCTGCTACCTCAGGCCCACGAGCACAGCCTTGCCCTCTCTGGTGGTTCCCCAGCCACCGGCCTGCTCCCTGCATCCTGTACTGCCATCCATCCTTTTTACATCTGCCTGAGTGATCTTCCTGAAACTTAATCTGATTCCATCTCTCTCTGCTTCAAATCTGCTATGGCTGCCACAGTCCTTAGGAGACAGTTCAGATCTTTTTTTTTTTTTTTTTTTTTGATACGGAGTCCTGCTCTGTCACCCAGGCTGGAGTGCAAGTGGCGCAATCTCGGCTCACTGGGCTCACTGCAACCTCTGCCTCCCGGGTTCAAGTGATTCTCCTGCCTCAGCCTCCCCAGTAGCTGGGATTACAGGTGCCCTCCACCACGCCCGGCTAATTTTTTTTTTTGTATTCTTAGTACAGACAGGGTTTTGCCATGTTGGCCAGGCTGGTCTCAAGCTACTGACCTCAGGTGATCACCTGCTTCGGCCTCCCAGAGTGCTGGGATTACAGGTGTGAGCCACCGCGCCTGGCCTAAGACAGTTCAGATCTTTAACTTGGCGCATGAATCCCCCACCCAACCCTATGACCTGCTCCTACCTGCTGCTGTGGCCTCACTTACTGCAACACCCTCGGTCCCCTGCCCCTGCCTACACTCCACCCATTCTGATGCTTCCAGAAGTTCCTAAGTGCATCTTCCAGCTCACACTTAGCCCAGGCAGTTTCCTTCACCTGGGGGTCCCTCTCACCCCCTCTCTGCACATGATAACTTGCTACCCTTCCTTCAAGACCAGCTCAAGCAGCTCCTGGTCTTAGCAAAGGAGAGACAAAGCCTTCCTGTCAACTTTCCTGTCCACCCACCAAGGAGATTTACTTACTCTCCCTGTTCTACTTGTTTTTCACATCTTTCCATGAGAGAATCTCCCACCTGTTGTTCTACATGCATTTACTTATAGGGTTCTCTCTCCTGTTACACAGAGATCCCTGAGGGCTTCTTCATTCACTCCTTCAAGACATTCAAAGTGGTCTTTGAATGTCTCTTGTCTTGGTCACCATGTTATAGTCTAAGAATCTGTGGATCAAGTATGAATGAGATAGAGATTGTCCTTAGTTTCTCTATATCAGGAAACTAAGTGGGGATATGCACATTCCACAAATGTTGTGATCATAAATGAGGTCATATAAGCAAAGGCATATAGCAGTTGCTCAATAAATGTTAGCTTTCTCCCCACCTCACCTCCCACCTCCTGCTCTGCTCGCTTTGGTTTGAAGGTCATTGGCAGAAAAGCCTGGATGCCACACCTATGGGGAATAGGGTGTGGAGAAGGGAGGGGGCTCTGCTAGCTGAAGCCTCCATGCAAATAGCACAAAGCCAGGTGGAGAGAAAGGCAGAGACCTCCAATGCTGAGGGTCTGTCCAGGACTGTGGCTGCTCCCCTTCCCAACTGCCATGATCTTCCCTGTAATCAGACCATCAGTGAGGGTTTGGTGGGGGTGATGCAAGAATATAGCTTCAGATTCCAACAGGACACCAGCAACCCTGTTTGGGCCAGGTAAGGAACTTTCTTAGAAAACTCTTCTTAGTCAGAAAGTTTTCTTAGAAAGCTTTCTCAGAAAGCTCCCTACCTGGCTCAAACAGGGTTGCTAGAGTTTCCTCAGCCTGGGGAACATGGCAAAATCCTGTTTCCACTAAAAATACAAAAATTAGCTGGGCGTGGTTGTGCACGCCTGTGGTCCCAGCTACTCGGGAGGCTGAGGAGATCAAAACTGCAGTGAGCTGTGATCACACTACTGCACTCCAGCCTGGGCAACAGAGCGACACTGTCTCAAAAAACACAAAAACAACAACAACAACAACAACAACAACACTTTGTCCCCTCCACATATAGGCTGGAAGTGTCCAGAAGAATGTACTTTTTCTACACAATATTCGTTCTTATTAATCCATTCACTCATTTAGCAAACACTAAGCACCAACTCTGCACCAGGCCTTGTGCTGGGACACTTTACCAGTCACCAATGTTACAGCTAGAGAAAATGGCTGGGTAGAGGTGGAGGGGCTGCTGTAAGCTCCCAGGTGAATGGGGACCATGGGGTGGGTGGGTGTTGGCACTGAGAGTCAGGAACAGGCAGACAGACAGAGAGCTCTGAGCATGTCTCTCTCCCAACCACCTCTGAACTCACCCACTGGCACCAGACACATCCTGCCCAGTAGGGATGGCCTTTAACTCCACCAGGCCACCCATTCTCCACAGAACCTTTGCCTATTGTCCCTCTCTAATCCCTGGCACCTTGGTTAGAGACACCCTTTCCTTTGCTCTCTGGCCAGGTCCTGGATCTCTCTGAAAAGGCCGCATGGAGAGGATGGGATGCCCCCGCAACACACACACACACCACACTACACACACACACACACACCCCACATACACACAGATCTCACACTTGGTATGGTTGTAGTGTGAAACCCTTTCTCCCTGCGCTCAAAAGTTCATCCCGTTCCTTACTTACGCTGGAGAGAGAGGAGAATGAGAACTGGAATATCAGAGATCCAGTCATAAATCAACTGGAAACTGAGGCACCTAGTGAGAAGGCATGGATTGGCGGCACTGGTCAGGTTTGTTGGAGACTCCACCAGGGTGGCCAGGACCCACAAACTCTTTTCTATTTCTTTTTTTTTTTTTGAGATGGAGTCCGCTCTGTCGCCAGGCTGGAGTTGGCAGTGGCCAGATTCTCAGCTCATGCAAGCTCTGCCTCCTGCTTCACGCCATTCTTCTGCCTCAACCTCCCAAGTAGCTGGGACTACAGGCGCCCGCCACCTCGCCCGGCTAGTTTTTTGTATTTTTTAGTAGAGATGGGGTTTCACCGGGTTAGCCAGGATGGTCTCAATCTCCTGACCTCATGATCCGCCCATCTCGGCCTCCCATATTGCTGGGATTACAGGCTTGAGCCACCGCACCCGGCCCCAAAACTCTTTCCAGTGTCTCCCACTCAGTCCCATGTGGGGATACCTGGAACCCTCTGCCTTTTGGGAGGAAGAGCCCTGAATCTCACGGTGAGGACAACTTTGCCCTAAGGATAACCGCCACCCCCACACCAACCTAGGCATGCTGGCTTTTGGGTTCCAAAGTCCCTCTGCCCTTCCCCCATCTGGCTCTGTGCTGGGGAGGGGCAGAGCCTGGGCTCAAATTCCTCCCTCCTCAGAGAGTAGCCTAACCCTCTCCCTGCCTCTCCTGGATGCCCAGTGAATTATTCATCCATTTGCCCATTTGATCTTGAGTTCATTCACTCAGCCAGTGATCCACAGACACCTTCAGTGTGCCTGGCCCTTTAGCTGTCTGACAAAGTTCACACCTTCTTGCTTCCTTCTCAGGGCAGCAACCTTTATGATTCTCATCTGCTTATTGTGGTTCCCAGGCCTGGCTTGGCACAGCATGGTCCAGAGTTGCTTTTTAAAAATGCACAGTCCTGGGTCCTACCCCTAGATTCTGTAGGTCAGAGATGAGGCCCAGAAATCTGGCTGTTTTAAAGCTCCTTAGTGATTCAGAGTTCAGCCAAAGGCATATATGTGTTAAGGGTTGGGCTGTGGGGAGAGGAGGAGGACAGGTCAATCAAACCGATACCCTCAGAGAGAATGAAAGTCCCAGCCCTGTCCCTCCATCCACTGTGCTTTGTCTAGAGGGCTAGGCCTCACCAGCTCCAGGGCCCAGCCCAAGTCCATGTTTACTCCAGTCAGGAGGAAAAGTGAAGGGAGAGGATGGACCAGATTCTGAGCTTCAGTTGCCACCAACAAAACTGGGCTCTCATGCCCTTGGAGAAACTTTTCTCACACCAACACTGGAGATGGGGCTCCACACAGCCCCATCCTTAA